AAATATTTTGGACGAAATTTTGTGTACAAGTGATCAGCAGAAAGAGTTCTTTCATTAATTAATTCTTACTTTATGCACTAAGTAAACTTGTTCAGTACCAAAAAATACATATAATTATAACTAATTTTAAACTATTTTTTAACTTTAGACTGAACCTGGACCAAACCCAGACTTAACTAAAAAGTTTAAATATAAAAGTTAGTCAAGTTCAAAATCAAACAAGACTTAAACCTAACTAAAGTTCAGTTTATATAATATTTATATTTATCTTATATTAAAATTAATGTTATAACTAATAAATATATATTTATATTTACCTGTAACATTAGTACAAAACAAAACAGAAATTCTTTGTTTATTTTTTTTCAAGCCTGGTGTAGCTTTTTTAGCTAAACTTTTTGATGGTTCCATCTTCCAATACAATCCAGTCTCATCACAGTTATAAATATTCTCTAATGACCAGGAACTTAAAATTTTTTGTAATATACTGCAATATTCAGATAAACTCTCAAGTGGAGCACCATGATGATTAAATTCACGTAAACCAATTCACTTTTTAAAATTAGAAATCCAACCATCAGAAGCTTTAAAATCTAAAATTCCTAAAAGATTAGCAAATTTTTGTGCTTGTAAGCTTAAAGTATAACCTGAAATAGTTAATTTAGCATCAAGTGCACAATCAACCCATAATGATAAGGCTTTTTCAAGCTTAGAAAATTTAGAAACCCGATTTCTTTGTGATTGAACCTCATGACTATTAGAATCAAGATTAATCTAATAGTCTGATTCTCTTAAAATATCTCTTACAGAATTCTTACTAATGTGATATTGATCTGCTAATTCATTATTGGTTAGCTTAGGATTACTTAATTTTGTTAGACATAGTTTTTTTTTTTGATAATCCTTTAAAGTTGTTCTTTTTTTAGACATAATTTGTTTTATTGTCTTAGATTGAGAAGAATTTATTGATTGATTGTTTTTATTTTTTAAATTCATATTTAAAACTTAAATGTGTGTAAATGTTAAAAAAAAAATATAAAAACTATAACTACATATTTCTAATAAACATATTTATATATAATATTTTCAAACCTTAAAATATATACAGCAAATTTAAAAATAATGTAACAAATATTACGTATAGCATATACTTGTACTTGTGTCTAAAAGTATATTTTTGCTGAACTCTATATACATATGTATTATATTATATAATGTTAATTTAAGCTAAAATAAATTGCGCTCTTATTATTTTTGCTAATTTAGATATATAATAATAAGGGCACAATTTATTTTAGATTAAATTAGCAGTATATAAAATAATACATATGTACGTAGATTTTGGCAAAAATATATTTTTAGAAACAAGTACAAGTATGTGCTATGTTTCAACATTACATGTACTATGCATTTCTAATTTTGTTATTGTCCGAGTCTACATAGCTTTAGCCCTCCCCAATTTTAGACACTATCACAAATCTGGTGATAAAGTTGCATTGCATGGTGGATGGGTTCTGTATCAGTTTTGAGAGGTCAGAAATTGGCCAATCAATTTGCAGACTTTGTATATAAAAATTTTTTATCAAATTCGATTAGAAAAATTTTACTTTAAGTTTTAAAAATTCAACAGTACTTAAATTATTAAAGCTATACAAAAATAATTTTTCTTTTTGTATTAAATGACATTCGAAATTTCAATCAGAGTCAGACTTTTTTTTTGTTAATCTATGTAGCAAAGTCTTTAATTCTAAGGTTTTATTGAAAAAGCATTAACTTTTAAATCAGTT